ATCCACTAAAAAATTACCGACTGGTATTTTCCAATTTTCAGAAAGACTTCAGTCATCTCAGTCCCCCGTGACCATGGGTGCTGGAAAGCGCCCGAAACGTCGGGAATTAAAAAATAAAAGTAAAAATAAACGCGATAAAATCCTTAAAAGTAGTTTTAATCATTTTCAGTTTCAATTAAGTAGTTATTGTTTCCTTTGGTACTTCTTGGTTTTACCCCTATTGAATATAGAAAAAATTAGGTACCAATGTTCAAAATTTAACTTACTCTAACTTCATACAAAATAAAACACAAATAAAAATAAAACCGTCAAATAACGAAACGTATAGATTATTCGCGTGATGCCAATATATCGGCGCATGGGAAAAAGAAACATGAAATGTCAAACGTGGTATAATTTTGGACAATAATATTTTGAAATAATATAATTTTATTTTCCATGTACAATATTTTTGAGGGTCTGAATCTAACCCTGGCGTAATCATGGTAACGTAACTAAGCTGACTAACTGTAAAACTGTGTGTTTAAAATTTAATTATAATAAAATTAATGTAAGGTTTACTTACCTATGATAAGATATCCCATGTTCCTTTTTTTCCTTGTATCGTAATTTTTGCATCCATTTACAACGCAACTAGGCATACTTATGACAAGATGACAGTCAAATCTGTCCTGCGCGCGCACCACTGACGAACGATTCGCATTGGCCCTAATTTAGGGCCAACGCACTGGACCGTTTTAGTTGTTCGGTCGGCCCGGTCCTTACGCTAGTAATATATAAGTCAATGCCTTTATCGAGCTCAGTGGCTTAGATATGGACAGCTATCGATATATATATATGCACTACGCCCTAGATATGGCATTCCAAACACTCACTATGTTCAAATGAACTGTACTGCAATCTGTACACCTGTTATTGTGACTTCGATATTCATGCAGTGCAGAGCGGCGTTAATAATAATTTTATATTAAATTAGCACATAATATGCAAAATAAATGAAACTTAAAAAAATGTACTCGATTAACAATACAATCCAAATAAACAGTTATTTATTATGACAATTTTCGCGCGTTTATATCAACTGCGCATGCGCGACTCTACTGTTTCCCGCGCATGTGCAGATACAGAGTAGAGCACATTTTTTGTTTGGAATAGCTTCTCTAGTACGTAGTACACAATATTACTCAATGTGGACAGCCATTTGCAATATTTTTGCACGTCTATTTGTCTGTCCATGTTAATCTTCGAAATGGCTGAACCGATAATGGTGAAACTTCACGAATAGACAGGACCAATGTCAGGTGTCCTGTCTGTTCTTTTGTCTGTCTAACGTAACAAATAAAATGTTGATCAAAAACTTCATCCCGTATTTTTTAACCTAAGAGGATTATAAGATATATGAGGATCTTTTGAACCCTAAAGTAGCCTATTACAAGTGGTAAAATTGAATTAGAACATTATCAATGTATTCCAAGTCTATCTAAAATAATGCTTATTTAGCATTATTATAGATAGCTCAAAAATAACTGGTCAGATCTTGATTAAATTTATATGGAACCACATAAAGAGCCGTGGTAGCTCAGATGGTTAACGCTCGCTGTAAATATAACAGAACGCGAGTAACCCGGGTTCGAGCCCCGCCGGCACCAATGAAATTGTTACTTGCAATTTTAAGTGCTGATTTACCACGTGCTCGGCGGTGAAGGAAAACATCGTGAGGAAACCTGCATGTCTGAGGAATAAGAAAAAAAAAATATTTCGAAGACATGTGAAGTTCGCCAACACGCATTGGGGCAGCGCGGCGGACACTTCCTTGCCCTAAAACCCCCCTCAGAAATGAGGGGGAGGCCTGTGCCCAGCAGTGGGACGTATATAGGCTGTAACTTTACTTTTTACTTTACATAAAAAGCACCAGCCCTCTGTTAAAAAATAATTATCAAAATCGGTTCACCCAGAGAAAAATTCTGTGGTAACACATAAAAAAACGTACCCACAGCATAGAATAAATAATAGTACTACGTGCCTACAGTTGAATTGAATACCTCCTCCTTTTTTGAGGTAGGTAAAATCATTAAAGTCGGCTAAAAATTGTCGAAGATATCGATCGGGTAAGATCCACAAAAAACTGCAGTCGAATTGAGAAGCAGCACTTGAGAATTATTACTTTTTATAGATTTAGAAATGAAATCTGTTACACAATCTACTTGAGCTGCATTAAGCCAAGTAGAGGTTTCAAGGTACCTAATGCAAGTGTCAGAGGTTTCTTTAGATTGCCTGTATTACGTAAATAACGTAACTTTTCAAGGCCGCGGGACCTTTTGTGTCATGGGGCTCATATACAGTTGCCTACTTTGCCTTCAGGGTAATTAGGTTCTACCTACTACGACGCGTATTCATAATTAGAGACAAAATAGGTATCAATAAATGCCAATACTACACAGAACAATAAATGCTTCACATGTTACGTGAGAGGCATTTGTATAATTAATGATGACAAAGTAAAATCTCTGTTTATTCGAGTGCTACGAATATGTGTCCAACGTAACGTCAAGGATTTGAGTGTTGACTACAAATCAAGTTATTTATAAATCACACTTCAAATGGCACTAAATCGGAGAGCCGTACGAATATGTTTCACATTTCATCCACAGACTTAGTGGAATTTCATCGACATCTAGAACTAGGTATTGTTTACTATTTCAATGGAAATATAATTACAATTACGTAAATTGAAATGCGTAATATTGACGTACCTATTTCTATGTTTACACAGCTGATAATGAGTAGTCAGGTAAATATAAACTAATTTGTATTATTAATTAGACTTAAGTTATTCAAATACGACTCAATGAATAATATCTTGAAAATATAATTGTAAAAATTATTTTTTAATACAAAATAAAGCCGACTTCAAAGAACTAAAAAAGATTAAAATAATTTTTACATTCTGAAGTTCGCGATATTGTGTTTGAAATAGAAAGCCTCGAATTCAAAATGTGAATTAATTTTGTTCTTTTAGGGTTTTTTTATACGATAGGGTGACAAGCAGCACACAGTACACCTGATGGTAAGTGGTTGCTGTGGCCCATAGACATCTACATCTATGCTCGATTACGAATCAAAATGCAGATACGTTGTCACCCGTGAGGACTAAGATGAAATGCCACGTTTCCAGTAGAAAGGGTCTCCTGTTGTCTACACTAACCATACGAAACACAGCAGCATTACTATTTCACACTGGTATTCTGTGAGAGCGTGGTCCTTCCCCGGTCGAGCCGACCCATTCGTGCTACAACTACACTACTAATATAACTACAGCATGGCTGTACCACCTATAAAAAAGTTCTTTAAAGTCGGCGTTTACTTTTATTAGAAGTATAATTTTTTCACTCCTTTGAGTGAAGCTAGGAGTATCACAAGCTGAAGGTACTAGTATACTGTCGAAATAGTTATATTCAAAACTTCATTCCGCATTTAGCCACCATGGGAGCCTCAAGAGTGAAACCTATTTATCATTAGAATCGGCGTACAATTAACAAAGATTATATTTTTTAGTTTTGTAGACTAAATAAAAAGAAAAAAGATATCGCGTAACATACGATACATACACGCGAAATGAGCACCTCCTTCTTTCTTAAGTTGGCTAAAAACAGAAAGTTAAAGCTTAATATACGCTCCACTGCTGAGTGCAAGTTATTTAATTTCTAAAACGGTTAGGGCAAGGAATTGTGCCCAACGCGCTGAAAATATACGAGTACATGAAAATAAACTCGTAAAGATTTTGTTTAAGAAGCTAAAATAGAACCAAACGAAAGCTCAATATATATTTACGTTATGGGAAACAGATTTAGATCCAAATGGAAATTTGTTTAGCGCATAATTTAAAGCTATAAAATGTTTCGAGAGTTTATCATCATTGATGTTATTCAATAATATACTTATATTAGGTAAGATCTCAGTGTTTTGGGAATTTAGAAACTTTTTTTAAATGATGACTTATGTCGGATAATCTATCCCAAAACCTTTTTACTGGTGATGGGTAGGAACCTCGTTAGTGGTAGCGTAATGGTTCTGCGTTCACCAACCTTCCTGAAGTACTTAAATTTGTTAGTAGTTTATCATCAGCGTGTAATTAGTTAATTTTTTACGCATTGTTATTTAGATGCTGTTTAACTCAATTATGTTTGTCACAATTTTAATATAAGTTTCGTGGCGTCACACTTACTGACTTCAAGTGATAGAGACAGACGTCGTTAAGGCGCTACTCCTAGCGAACGACCTTGAGCGTACGGTCCTACTATACAATCCACGCGCTCTCGCTACAATATATCGCGTAAGAAATACGCCCACTTTTTGGAATAATCTCAATTAAAAATAAAAGCGTACGAAGCGAAAGTAATGAATAATACAGATTTTTAAATTATCTATCCATTAGTGTAATCCTCAAATGATTAGAGCGTCGCCTTCAGCAACAGATGATAATCAATAATTTTAGTCATTTGTTAAAAGTTGATTTCAAATGTATTTATAACACACAAAAACAAATTAGAACGTGGAATGTGATGATAGGATATTGAACATTAATAATGTGCTTTTGGATGTAGTTTATTTCTCATAACTAATGAGATAATAGTCTCTGAAAAACGCACTATCGCAAGGTTTTGGTCGGGGTATCGCCTTAAATTTGAACAGCGTTTGAGTATTTGAACGTTATTATATTAGTCTTTTTAATGTAACCGATATTACAAATGTCATGCGGCCATTAGGATAAGATTGGATGATGCATTTATTATTTTATCATGCGAATACAAGGTGTCATTAATTATGTTATTTTAACCCACAAAAATACGTTACGTGTAATAAATACTTATGTCAATAGTAATAACGATAAAATATGACCCTACACTACAAAACCATAAGTATATGTCTGCCAAAAACGTACTCAAATAAAAAATGCTATTTTATACATTTATAAATTGTAAGAAATGCAAATAACGTACCGTTTTGGAAATAACATTATCTTCTAATAAGCACAGTACGTGCGTTTCCCATCTTCGAAGAAACTTCGCAGCGAGAATTTTGTCAACGACAGTCCTAGTATGTTGAAAACAGCACACTCTCAAGGTGCCTTCCGTAGCAAGCTTGTAGCGGGGTCCGGGAGGTGGTACCGGGTTCCCAGTCGAGCTGCTGCTTTCGAAGCCGCCGCGGTCCACGCAGCATTCTGGACTTGAACCCTGGAAGAAAAATATGAAGTGAGCTTGGAGTTTAAGTTAAACTTTGAATACTTTCTCCAAAGAATTGTGGATTTAATTACATATCATTTTTTAATTTATGTAACACGATATTTTAATTAAAATCGTTGATAATTAACGAGGCCTGTATTTTTTTCCTTAAATAACTTCTTATACAGTCTAAGTTATAATCTTATCAATAGTGATTGGCTGGCTTTTTATAATTTTCAGGAGATCAAATTTTAACTTTAATATATTAAGTTTCGTTTGTGAATGTGAAAACTGTTAACATGAGTTGTTAATGTTACTCCTTATTGTATTTATTCATTAGTCCATAATTAATGTTTAAATTACAATTCTATATTTAATATTTAATTTCAGTTATCACCAAATCATTTACTTCAATGGAGAAACTTAATTACGTGATGGCTAAAAATATTAGATAATAATTCTTATCATGTACAAAACATTAAAAAAAATGTGTCTTTTGGGCCAACTGTCTGAGCGAACTGACATGTTTTGAGCTTGAACACCATACTGTTGTCAATGTTTACAGACCCCATGTTCAAAGTATGAAAATTTGGAAAAAAATATAGAAGAAGTTTTAGTTAAGTGTAATAAATATAGTAAATCGCGCGGAGTCTTTAATATCAATCTCTTAGAAGCTTCTTCTATAAATATTAAATGTAGCTTATTGTTCAAATCATACAATAGATAATTTATTGTTAGAAGCAACACGTATTGCTGAGTGTAATGTAACTTGTATTGATAGTACTTTTACAGGTGTTGTACCAATCAATAAATGAATAATTCAAAAAAATATTTCAAATCACTGCTAACAACTGGTTTCATCACCTTATATGTACAAAAAAAAAACAGGAATACGATTAACGCAATCGTATTCCTGGTTTAGAAGTAATATAGTAAAAAATCGTCCATAGCCATGTAAAATAACAATACTGACTAATTATATATAGTATAATGTACCTTTATAAGCAATGAATTTAATAAAACAATTACTTAAGAAAAAATCTTCTTTAACAGTCGCAAGGCATTTAGCGAGTGTGCAACATTAGGAATTCGAACAGTAAGATGAAGGATATATGAACTTTACCTTGAAAGATCATATAATCTTTCCGACTTTAGAAAATTTGTCAAATATTATTCTAAAATATTTAAAAGACGGTATTGCACGGTTACATCTTAGCAATAAATTTAAGATAGTTAAGCGCGAAACAGATAAAGACAAACCTTGTAACTTACGCTACTAATCATTAAATCGGAAAGTCGCAGAGGTTTTTGAGAAATATTTCACTGATATACTATAGAAACATTGAATATTTCTCTAGCTGCCACAGAATCTGCTCATAGAGAATGTTAATATTTGTATAAAACAATTTAGGTTTACCCAAGATTCAAACAACTATTAAAAATAAATTTAGAAAACGTTATCTATGGTAAAGACCTAAGCACTATGCTTAATGACTTCAATGATGTATCCCAACGTATGGGTCTCAAGATGAACATGGACAAAACAAAGATCATGTTTATTGTTATGTCACACCTATGCCGGCAGTTTTTGGGATCACTAAGCTTGAAGTTGTTTACCTAGGACAAATAGTCCGACTAGGTAAGTCGAACTTCGACCGAGAGGTCAATCGGGAAATTACGACACATCTTCTCGTCAGGTATACCTTAAAACCTGAAAACTAGTTTGCACAATCAATGCGGCTTGCCAGTAATTACTTATGGATCTGAGACGTGGTCCTTCACTGCTGGTCGTATGAGGACGCTCAAGGTCGCTCAGCGAAATATGGAGAGGGCTATGCTCGGGGTTTCTCTGCGTGATAAAATAAGAAATGAGGATATCCGCAGTAGAACCAGAGTGACCGACATAGCCCAAGCGGATTAGTAAGCTGAAATGGCAATGGGCCGGCCATATAGCTCGAAGAACCGACAACCGATGGGGGAAAAAGTTCTCGAGTGGCAGCCTTTTACCTGTACGCGTAGTGTAAGGCGACCCCCCTCACTAGATGGTGTGACGACCCGGTAAGAAATGCAGGAAGTCGATGTATGCAGGTGGCTCAAAACCGTGCTTTATGGCATTCCTTGAGGGAGACCTATTTTCGGCAGTGGACTTGTCAAGGGCTGTAATTATGATGATGATGATATCAATGTTAAGATTTCCTTCGGATCGGTAGTATCAATGAGTGTTCATCACTAACATGATTTAATCTGTGCTCAGGGCTCGATTCTTGGCCGATTTCTGTTGTTAATCTACATAAATTACTTAGCTTACCTTGTAGAGGAAAATCACGATATTGATTTATTTGCTGATAGTAGGTACCTCTTTAATTTTCAAACGTAAACGGTCAATCAAAGTTCGCAAATCAAATAAATATGGTCATCATTATTAAATAATGCTCTATCGAAATTAGTACATAGTTTTAAGGTCAACAATCTGCTTTTTAACGGAATTGAAACGGCTGCTCATAGATGGTCGTTATTCATATTTTTTAAATAACCAATTATTTTATTATGATTATTAGTATAACATCTTCATCTTCTCTTCTTTGCGAGCGATAATATATCCCTTACAAAGACGAAGGGATCCCCTAAGGATCCCAAGGGAACTTTTACTATACAAAACATTATTTCCAGAATAATTCAAATCATTGATTTGGTATACAGAGGTTGGTACATTTCCTACGTCGATTTGTAATAAGATCATTCACTACTATTCTAATAAGTTTTTAGGAATTACTATTGAATAAGGAAAGACGAAGATGAAGAATTCTGCGTTCTTGCGAAAGATAGAGTACAGTAAAATATCCTGTTGAGTACAGGACCTTTAATATTTCGTATTTAAGATTTCCAAAATTTTTATAATTTCGCCACCCGCTCGTGAGAAATTCCGCATATTCATTTAATTCAGGTTCAAACTAAAGTAATTCAATCACAGTCAACATGTCACCGTCACGAAACTGAAATAGTCAACCGGACGAAAATGAAATATGTAATAGATAGCAAGCATGTCGATGGCGTATAGCTATCTATAGTTGTGGCTTTGTTTCGCCTTACAAAAAATAATATAAGTAAAAGATATCAAACGCCTGTTATTTTCAGTAAAGTAAAGTTACAGCCTATATACGTCCCACTGCTGGGAACAGGCCTCCTCTCATTTCTGAGAGGGTTTTTAGGGCAAGGAAGTTTCCGCCGCGCTGCCCCAATGCGTGTTGGCGAACTTCACATGTCTTCGAAATTTTTTTCTTATTCCTCAGACATGCAGGTTTCCTCACGATGTTTTCCTTCACCGCCGAGCACGTGATAAATCAGCATTTAAAATTGCATTTAACGATTTCATTCATGCCTGTGGGGATTTCAGTATTATTTAGAAATATCTGGCTTGTTATTTATTAATTTCATTATCGCTATCACTACAGTACAGCCGTTCTTGTACAAAAAGTCTAATGCTGTAATATAGACAGCCACAAAGTAGGTGCGGTCCTGCAGCACATGCATCTATAGGCTGCATACGTATTTCATCAGGTCGGCACTCCATCTAATTGGAGGTCACCAAATACTGCGTTTTCCAGTACTAGGATGTCTCTCGAAAAATTTTCTTTGTTATCGTTTGGAGAACATTAAACATGTAACAGATGGTATGTCGATGGCGTTTGGACAGCGTTGTGGCTTTGTTTCGCCTTATAATAGATGGTTAAACAAGCAATATTTCCACAATGTTTTCAATTCTATTTTTAAAGTACTATAACTAAAATAACACCATATTAATTTGTACAAGCTATAACCATAAATTAGCAATATTAGCATACACTAGAATTTTTTTCTAAAAAAACGTTAGGTTCATTACGTGGTAGAGCCATACTGCAGATATATTAGTAGTATAGTTGTAGCACGAATGGGTCGGCTCTACCGGGGAAGGATCTCATAGGGTACTAGCGTAAAATAGCAGCTTAACGCTGCTGTGTTTCGTATGGTGAGCGTAGATAACCGGAGACCCTTTTTGCTGGAATCGAGGAAATCCTTCTTAGTCCTCACGAATGACAACACATGTGTGTTTTGATTCGTATCTGAGGATAGATGTGGACTGTGTGCTCGTTTGGCACCCTATCCTATAAAAAATATGCAGTTTTATATTTAGTTTTACTCAAAAATATTTTATAAATTCAAGGTATACTTATAAAACTACTAAGATAAGCACAAGAGACGATATCTCAATATGACACGCGGTGCAGTTAGTTATGTTCACAATTTTAAGAATGCGAAAGGTACGTATGATTTATTATTACATTTATGGAATAATTGAAATTTCTTAACCGTTGATTTTTTATATAATTTGGTACCAAATATAAAAATTACAATATTCTTCATATTGTGTTTGATTCTATTTGAGAAGTGCAAATGAAAGCTGCCACGCTTGCCAAACGTTTTTTTTAAATATATACACCGGCACAATTAGCGGAACACAAAAAAAGCAGGATTTTAAAATCTTTTACTTGAGGAACTGGCCAGTTATGATATATTTTTAATTTATTGTCAAATTTGAAAATAGAAAATTAGATGACATACACTTTTTTTATTCATTTGGTTTATTTAACCGAACAATACGTTTTGTCAACTTATTCGAGTAATAACTACGTAATTGTAATTTTTTTGAAAAATTGCACTTAATGGTTTTTTATAAATTTGTTATTCTATAGGCAATTTTGTTTATTAAAAGCTCTTTATTATGCCTGACTTAACATCACTGGAAATCATTAGGGCTGATGAAATGAGAAGAAATGGCCAGACCTACAGATCGATTGCCTCAAGGCTTCGTCGACCAGTATCAACGATTCATCGCAGCATCCAGCGGTACAGATCATCTAATTCTCTTGTGAGGAGGAGGGGTCAAGGTAGAAAAAGATGTACATCGAGGCGAGATGACAGTTTTTTACAACTTGGAGTTCGTAGGAATACGCGATTAACGGCTGTACAAGCTC